AGCTAGATGATGATGGACATCCTCCAACCAGGAAATGAGGATGGCTATTTCTGACTTGCTGCAACTTCTAATGTAAAAGAAGCTCACAGAATGTAGTTGATAGAGTAAGCAATTTCATTAAAGTAAAGGAACCTGTAAAACTTTTCAAGGTTAAAGGTAAGGCTGGAGAATGTGACCCCTATGCAATATAGCATCTTTTGCCCCATCTCCATTCCTTTGATTGACATTTAGTATGGATTGCTATAGCCATAGAGAAGCCTCGATGCATTGTCTTTTAAGCCATCTTCAGTTAAAATTAAAAAAAATACCCTTGCAGTGTGGCTACTCTCTTGCTGCAAAGGTTAAATGCTTGTTTTTGTCTGAGAGACCTGAATAAAGGACTTTTACTTACCTGATCCTCGCTCCAGTGCTTGTAGCCTCTTACCCCCATCTGCTCCAATGGCCAGAGGCCCACTGATTTCATCACATACATAGCCCTGTATTATATGTGAGGACATCGAGGGACATTTCACGAAAGGAAAGAGGTGAACGCTGATTGCCAGGGAAGAGGGGATCAGGTAAAAGTCCTCTTCACAATACCCCTAGACATAAATGAACAGTTAGCCTTTGTAATGGAGCAAGGCTTCTGCCTATGCAGCTCTGCTTGCCTGTAGTGGTTCCATAAAATAAAGATCCTTTTAGGAAGACCAGTATAACATGCAAACTCCTGCTTATGCTTCAGGTATGTCTGATCCTGCTATGTAGTGGCGTTATTGCAGCTCTGAACAAGATAATTATACTCTACTTAAAACAGGCATTGCAATTTATGCGGGCAACATGGTGCCAAATCACTTGCCAGGTTTCCTTGAAGCCTACAGACCTTACCAGTGCTCCCTTACATCTCCTGCTTCCACAGTGCAACCCGTTACAGACGTTAAAGGAAGCGGGAATGTCACTCCCCGGTCATGTGAGAGCACATGGGCCTAGTGATTGGCCACATAGGAGGGGGGACACATGCTCCTAAATTTACTGAATGGGCAATATGGCAATGTCTCTTTAAGGTATGACCAGTATTTTGGCACCTTACAAACACAGATCTAAATAAAAAAAAAGAGGCAGACTTGATGGATCACTTGGTCACTCTTCTATGTTAGTGTCCTCTTCCTTGTACTGCTAAGCATTCTGGGAAGATGGTGTGTACTTCACTAGTTCCATGCATCCCTGTACTATCCTGATAATGAAATGTAGCACAGTCCAAGTTCACATTTTCATCCCTTCCTTTAAACAGAGATGTCTAGTAGCTTGTCTCTCTCCATCCTTTCGGTATACGCAGTGTCTGTGTGCGCAGAAGATTCTGGTTTATTCCCGCAGGCCATTTCCCTTTTTATGGATGTTCGTTTTTTTTTTTAGCTTCCTCAAATGTGTCCTTGTGCTGACTTGTTAACCTTAGTATGCTGCTGCCGCATGCCTCTAGGTAGAATATTGTTAATAATTCAGTTATTTATACGGTCCATCACCTCTGCTTTTCATTTGATTAGGATTTGTATTTTATTTGTTGGCCTTTTGTGGTTTTTAAGAATAATAGAGCACGCAAACTGACCAAACGAACTAAAAATACCTGGAGAGAGACCACAGAGGAAGTGACAATGTCTCGTATAACATTGACTTGCAGAGAGCGGCTAGTCTCACTCTATTGCCAAATAAAATGTAAAAGAAAACTCCCCTTTTGATCATAGTTTTTCTAATCCTCTAAACTTACTTAATTTTACAATTCTGTCATGTATAAGAATGCTTCTATTTGCTCTTGTAGGGTGTACCATAGACCATGCTATCTTGCTTTAAGTAGCGTAGTGGTTAGCGCTTCTGCCTTGCAGCGCTGGGGTCACTACCTGCAAGGAGTTTGCATGTTCTCCCTGTGCCTGCGTGGGTTTCCTCCGGGTACTCCGGTTTCCTCCCATGACATACTGGTAGGTTAATTGGCTCCTCTCTAAGTTGGCCCTCTATGTATGCATGTGAGATAGGGACCTTAGATTGTAAGCTCCTTGAGGGCAGGGACTGATGTGAATGGGCAACTATGTAAAGTGCTGCGTAAATTGTCAGCACTATATAAATACCTGTAATAAATAAATACATAAAAGAAATGCATACATATAGAAGTTGTGTTATCTGTAGGGTTGCCACCTTTTCTTCAAGCGAAACCCGAACACTCTAGCGACGCGCAGACATTTTTTGTGGAGAATGAGTCGCGGCTTATTCATATGTAAATAACTCCGACCCATTTGTATGTAAATATCACAGTTGAGCCTATTGTCAGTGGGGGGCCAGTAGCCCCTATCTTAATTTTGGTTGCCCCTATCTGCCCGACATCTTTTGTCCGGGTTTCTGCTCCCATGAAACCCGAACACAGCATTCATAACCCAGACTGTCCGGGTGAATCCTAGGCAGGTGGCAACCCTAGTTATCTGCCCAAGAAGTTGTAATATTTTTTAGATGATTTTATGATCCAGAAAACCCTTTCCAGACAGTAGCTATCAACGACTGATCAAACCATCATTTTGATCATGTAAAGGGATCTTACGCTTTGATCATTTGACACTACATAGATGAAGACAAATTTGGTTGAACTAACTGGATTTTGGATGGTTACTTTTTATTGTTTCTCAATAGCAGAAAGCAAAATGTTTCTTTTTAAGATACAATTCTGTAAAACCCCTTTGAAAGGACAAAAATAGAAATGCAGTCCGATATTCTGTGTACTAAAAACCTCAATTTTCATAATTTAACCTTTAATTGCCTGTTAAATGGTTGTACAGGAAGTCTGAATGTGACTGTGTAGTTCAGTAGTCACCATAGTTAGACCAAACATTCTGTAATGTACCAGACCTGGTCAGACACAAACCCCTCCTCTTCTCTGCATCACAAGTCTGTTTGAAGACTTTTGCCTTGCGGTGTGTGACTGTTACTCAGCTCTGCCAGAACAGCGTACTGCAGTGTGCGGGCTGGAAACAGAATTTGTACAAGTACAAAGGTATAAGGCCTTTCGTTGCATATGTTAAAATGATATCATGCAGAGGTACAGGATTATGAAAAGATAAGAGGGTGTCAAGACTTCAATTCAGCTTTAATTGAAATGATTGGTATATTGAATAATTGATTGTATAGTTGTGTGCATGTATATATGCAAAAAGTTGTAACTTGTGTTCTTCCTTACTGTCCTTAGATGCTGTCATTTATGCATGCCCAGTACGTCTTCTTCCAGCAAGGCTACACTTTATTAAATGAACTGAACCCGTACATGAAGAAGCTGGCTTCAGAGGTATGTGTGTCTTTGTGTGTGGAGTATACCATATCCCAACTGATCTTCCTCAGTGTCATACATTCTGTTTTTTTTTATATAATTCCTTTTTTTAAGTTAACCTAAGGCTACCAATAAGGGCCTAAGAAGGGAATCTGTGCGTTGAAGAAGGTACCATATTATTTGTCTATAGAGCTGTTTTTATTTCTGCTCCCTTCCCTGAGACCCATATCTTTCCTATGCAAAAAGCAGTTTTTTTTCAGAGCCAGAATTGGCATAATCGCACTCCTTCACCGCCCAAATTTATTCAAAAGCATCACAGTATAAACCTGAAAGAGGTTCCACTTCCAACCATTCCCACTCTAATCAAAAGAACAACAAAAAATGTTTTGGCTGGAATAAAGTGCAGTAACTTATAGCAACCAATTAAAATTCCCTTTCCCTGAAATAGAACAGTACAAGATGGATTCTGATTGGTTACAATTGGTTTCTGAACTTGAAGTAGTATTATACTCTCAAATGTTTTATCAATAATGAATCCAGATCAAACAAATATACATTTCTCAGCATAGTATTTGTTTTACGTTTTTGCCCAAACACTTAGTCATCATGATTACGAACAGCTCCAGCTGTCGCAGTTATGCTTCCCTAAACTTCCAGTCCAGTACAAGATCACAAGGGACAGCACAGTCTCTATCCGCTGTCCATCTACTAGCTTGGAGAAGGGAAGAGGGAGGAGCGGTCAGCAGGGAAATGGCCTTCCCTGATGTGCCTGCACACCGCTTACTAGCACTCAGAAGGGTGGCTCCATAGGACCCAGCAAGGGAAAGGAGTCACTCTAAAACAGGATATCGGGGCCAGTTCTCAGGTGACCAGCTCATATAGCATATTCCTTGTGATGGGTTTATAATGGAAATCCTTCATTAGCCTCAAATGTAAGAGAGTAATAATGATTATTTGCTTCCTTTATAGTTGGATCAATTAGTCATCGACTCAGCTGTGGAGAAGAGAGAAATGGAACACAAGCATGCAACAATACAGCAAAGGGTGAGTTCAGGATTCTATAGAGTGCACAACTGAGGGTTCAGTTAACCTGGCAAAGTGTTGTAAAAATTGCAGAAGCTTACTGAAAATCAGTATATGTCAAAAACTTGAGGACACCTGACAATCATACCTATATAAACCTGTTGGACATCCCATTCCAGAAGCATGGACATTATTATGAACCCCATGTCCCCACACACACCAGCATCCCCTTCCCAGTTATAACAACCTGCTCTCTTCTGGGAAGGATTTCTACAAGATGTTGGAGGAAGTCTGGGGAATTTTGTGCTCATTCCGCCAAAAGTGTATTTCTGGGGTTAGCGACTGATGTTGGACAAGGGTACCTTGCTCTTAATTGGCTTTCCCATTTATCCCAAAGGTGTTCAGCAGAGTTAAGGTCAAGGCTCTGAGCAGGCCACCTGAGTTTTTCCAGACTCATCAAACCATGTCCTCATGGAGCTGACTTTGTTCACAGGGGTACAGTCATACTGAAACAAAAAAGAACCTTCCCCCCAAACTGTTACCATGAGGCCTGGTTCACACTTAGCGTATTGTCGCAGCAGATTCAGCCTGACCAAAAGCTTTACCGAAAAAATCCCATTCATTCCTATGGCCACAGTGCATACCTAACCATTTTGTCACAATAAGCAAAACGCCTGTCACCGGAAAACGTACATAAGCTTCTTTTTGGCAGATTACAGCTCGTTTTGGCCCTACATACTCAATAGGAAACGCTTGAAAACACGAGTTGCAATTAGTTTTGCACATTTTGAAGCACGTATATGCACGTTTTGTCCATTGGCTTAAATGTATCACAATCTGCTACACGCGTCAAAACACACGACATAAACGTGCAGGAAAAAGCGCATGTTTTTTCATGCAATAACGCAAACGCTTAGGTGTGAATCTGGCTTGGAGTTGAAAGTGCACAATTGTCTAAAACGTCCTTGTATGCAGTGGCATTAACACTACCTTTCATTGGGAACGTGTGAACTTGCATATCTGTTTGAATACACTACACATTCTTTTCAAACTAATATTTCTGACAATGCTACAGTAAGGCTGATACAATGTAGCCGATACTTTACATACATCACAGTTATTATCTGTTAAACATAATTACTTTGATATCTGAAAGTCCATGTGTGCATCAAATGGTGATTAAAACAGTATTATATTTCTATTATTGTTGCTTTTATAGTTTTCCTATACTGTCAGTGTAATTATGTGTCCTGATTGGATGGACTGCATTACTTTATAGATAATGGCAGTATATAAAGGCCAGTGTTCCTGAAATTGTCCTTTCATTGTGTCTAGTTTCAGAGTATTCAGTATTTCTGCCCTTCCCGCTATATTATTATAGTATCTCCTTATCTCAGCATTATTCCTTGTAAAACAATGATCCCTGCTATACTCTGCAGTGCTATCTGCAATGAAATGGCATGGATGTGTATTGACATCTGTGAGAAATAATACAGTCTTGTAGGGAAACTAATCAATAACCTTTGTCCCTTATTAATGAGATCCTCCGGTAGGTGGGGGTTGTGATTACTGGATTATTTGTGTGTGACTGAGGAATTGCTCATGTAATTCCTATTAATAAAAATAAAGGGAGGCTGACCTTTGGTGTTCTATTGGTGCCAAAGATAGAATGGGGAAAAAGTTTTTCCTCTGTGCTTTCTCGTACTTTCTTGTGCTCCATACTATGGAGGATGCACTCCTGACAGGGGAAACAGAAGGTTTAGCTCACAGCAATGTCCTGGGTTTCATAAGAACAGGAAAGAAAAAAGCCCCAAATGGGGACACTCTGGACCGTACAAAATAACCCAGAGAATTATAACACTTCACACTTATTAGATGCATGCCTGTCATTGTACAGTATTTAGGCAGTCAGGGCCAACATATAATATAAGGCAGTAGGACAACTGTATTGCATGCTGTTGAATGCTTATTCCTTGTGTGGTCAGAATGGATTTGAGAGCCTGCGTATATCTGTTTCAGACATGTAGTAATCTTCTTGTATCCAATACATTTTTAAGTAACATATATTAACTTTCTGTTTTTTATGTTTAATTCTTTCTTTCTACAACCTTGTTGATCAATCTTCGATGTCCAGACCCTCCTACAGGTGAGTGTTGTATTTCCTATTAAAAGTCTACACCGCCCTAAGATGTTCTGATGTAGAAAGATTAAACAAAAGAAAGCTGTAACAAAAGGGGTGAACTTGCCCATAAGGAGCCCATCAGTTTTCATCTTTTATTCTCTGTGAAGAATCTGATTGGTTATTTTATGCATTTTATTGTAAAAATGTCCTGATTTTGGATGAGCATGGTCTCTGCAACTGGATCTTGGAACTCTGGTAGGAATATCTTTCCATTAGAAGGTATAAGAAGTGAGCTTGATGTTCAACTTGCAAGTAATCAAGTAAAACTAAAGCAACAGTATTAGTGGGTTTTTTCCAGTGGGTCTTAACAGCCTCTGGCTTTAAGTATTGGTGGGGTGTTTCCAGTGGGTCTTAACAGCCTCTGAGTTCAAAGGATTTTCTAATTCATTCTGAAAAAAGACAAAGATCTTCTTAACATATTCATGTAAAGATCAGCTAAAAAATGAGAAATGTGCATACATAGTATACTCTGTTCTGAGCAGACTTTGGATGGCCTAAGTGAACAATATGCAGAGTTCAAGGCCCATCTGTCTTTTGTTTATCATAGTGGTTTATTGATCATCAATTTTACAAGTGCTCAGGCTGTGGACACGATCCTGCAAAGGCACTGCAGGGTAATGAATAGTTGACAGATGTATACTGCCTGTGTACACCTACCGTATGTATTTAAGAGAGCTTTGACAAGGGGCGAAGGTCACCAGGGAGTACTAATGGCGGTTTGTCTAAGAACAGAGTCAAAGCAAGTTTACTGGCTCATTTATTCCGGAGACTGACCTGTCAACTCTTAGAAGACTGACAACACTTAGGTTGCCTGTACGGGGCCCAATCCATCCTGTATGTTAAGCACCTCTTGGACTTTCTTAGAGAGTGGTAACATGCACTTCCAGTTGCTTGTTATTGTGCATTGTTGGAAAAACTCTGTGCAAATGGACATGGATCATCCAAAAAAGGAAAGATGTATAGAAGGGGTGGGGAACTTCCAGCCCTCCAGCTACAATGAAACGACAAATCCCATGATGCATCTGACTTTGGGAGTCATGCCTGCAGCTGTCAGAATCTTGCAATGCCTCATGGGAGTTGTAGTTTCACCACAGCTGGGGGGCTGGAGGTTCCCCACCCCTGATGTATAGCATAGGGCGGCCATACACACTTCATCAATGACCAGATCCCTCACTCAATAGGTTGGATGGGCAAATGTCTCACCTAGAAGGTTGGATGGGCAGATGTCTCACCTAGAAGGTTGGATGGGCAGATGTCTCACCTAGAAGGTTGGATGGACAGATGTCTCACCTAGAAGGTTGGGTGGTAGAGAGACATTTGCCAATCTACAAAGCCAATTTTTAGTTGATGTATAGTCCCACTCACAATCATGCCAACTGCACAAAAAAATTCCAACACTTTTAAAATTATCTGAATGCATTATTGAGAACACCTACAAATCTCTTCATGGGAGGTGAAGCTTACACTGGGCTTGTGATCAGGACTTGTATCGTCCTTTTTAAAATGTGTTAGACAATCTGGCGCTGATTCTGCAGGAGGTTACAGTCTACATGCAATAATGACATTTTGGCTTGTTCAATGGAAAATCCTTCCAGCCTTACGCAGCCTTGTTATTGTCTTTAACCCATTTTATTTTTGTGCATTTTTGCTCATTATTATCCGTTACAAACAGTAATACAATAAAAGTATAACCTGGAGTCCCATTGAGAATCAGTAAATGGTGTATATGGGATACTAAATTAAGAAGGTGTAATTCTGATTTAGTTTCCTACTTTCCGCACATGTTTAGTGTGGGATTTGTATCTTTTTTTATATTAGAAAAAGGACCCTAAAAAGTTCATGTTGATGTTTCAGTCTTTTAGCATGTGATGCTTCAGATCTCGGCACATGCAGTTCTTGATAACTTGCTACCATAAGTTACCCCTGTTCTGTAATAACTTTACAGGGGTAAGTAAAGGGACAGCTTCTCCTATTAACCCACTCCCTCACCGATTTTTACTCGCAGGTCCGCGCTTTCTTACCACTTGACCACTGCAGAATTCTACTCTGGGTAAGCTCCTGTGACTAATGGTGTTGGAGCTTACCCCGGTGGCTGAAAAGCTGCTCAGGCCCAAGTACAGTCACGCAGGGTGCTCATATGCTCCCAAATACCCGGAAGCTCATTAGAACAAAGGAGAGAAGGCTCTGATAAAGTGGGGAGGCAGTGAGAGGGTAAATTGGTGAATATAAATGGGATAAGGGGAAAGTGGGCTTTCAGGAGACACTTTCACTTTGCCCTGAGAGCTGAAACATACTTTTGCTTTGCAGTACATTGCAGTAAATACTTAATGTCTGTTTTTGGTCCCTTCTGTACATTGGCAGCCCATACAGAATGAATGGACTACCCCTATGCAATGCATGTTAACGTGTGAAATGACATGCAATAACATAATGCACACCGGACAAGTGTAACTGCATGCTTGTTGTATGTTAGTGACTCGAAATATTGAAAAAACAGGATCAGTATGACAGCCAGACAACATTTTTGCCAGTGGAAAGGTCAGCAATGGTAGTCTCCATGTTTCTAAACTAGAAGAAGACGGTCTTAGCTGTCCTTACAAGGTCAGGCCACATTAGACATCGCCTTTTCAGTTCAGTTCATAATAATAATCAAATCTGGCAGATATGGGTGCTCCATGGAGGTGTTAACCACCTATATCATATTTGGGCAATAGAAGAGATCATACAATAGCAGCATGTACGTGCTCATGGTGCCCTTGAAGGTTGGATGGACAGATGTCTCACCTAGAAGGTTGGGTGGTAGAGAGACATTTGCCAATCTACAAAGCCAATTTTTAGTTGATGTATAGTCCCACTCACAATCATGCCAACTGCACAAAAAAATTCCAACACTTTTAAAATTATCTGAATGCATTATTGAGAACACCTACAAATCTCTTCATGGGAGGTGAAGCTTACACTGGGCTTGTGATCAGGACTTGTATCGTCCTTTTTAAAATGTGTTAGACAATCTGGCGCTGATTCTGCAGGAGGTTACAGTCTACATGCAATAATGACATTTTGGCTTGTTCAATGGAAAATCCTTCCAGCCTTACGCAGCCTTGTTATTGTCTTTAACCCATTTTATTTTTGTGCATTTTTGCTCATTATTATCCGTTACAAACAGTAATACAATAAAAGTATAACCTGGAGTCCCATTGAGAATCAGTAAATGGTGTATATGGGATACTAAATTAAGAAGGTGTAATTCTGATTTAGTTTCCTACTTTCCGCACATGTTTAGTGTGGGATTTGTATCTTTTTTTATATTAGAAAAAGGACCCTAAAAAGTTCATGTTGATGTTTCAGTCTTTTAGCATGTGATGCTTCAGATCTCGGCACATGCAGTTCTTGATAACTTGCTACCATAAGTTACCCCTGTTCTGTAATAACTTTACAGGGGTAAGTAAAGGGACAGCTTCTCCTATTAACCCACTCCCTCACCGATTTTTACTCGCAGGTCCGCGCTTTCTTACCACTTGACCACTGCAGAATTCTACTCTGGGTAAGCTCCTGTGACTAATGGTGTTGGAGCTTACCCCGGTGGCTGAAAAGCTGCTCAGGCCCAAGTACAGTCACGCAGGGTGCTCATATGCTCCCAAATACCCGGAAGCTCATTAGAACAAAGGAGAGAAGGCTCTGATAAAGTGGGGAGGCAGTGAGAGGGTAAATTGGTGAATATAAATGGGATAAGGGGAAAGTGGGCTTTCAGGAGACACTTTCACTTTGCCCTGAGAGCTGAAACATACTTTTGCTTTGCAGTACATTGCAGTAAATACTTAATGTCTGTTTTTGGTCCCTTCTGTACATTGGCAGCCCATACAGAATGAATGGACTACCCCTATGCAATGCATGTTAACGTGTGAAATGACATGCAATAACATAATGCACACCGGACAAGTGTAACTGCATGCTTGTTGTATGTTAGTGACTCGAAATATTGAAAAAACAGGATCAGTATGACAGCCAGACAACATTTTTGCCAGTGGAAAGGTCAGCAATGGTAGTCTCCATGTTTCTAAACTAGAAGAAGACGGTCTTAGCTGTCCTTACAAGGTCAGGCCACATTAGACATCGCCTTTTCAGTTCAGTTCATAATAATAATCAAATCTGGCAGATATGGGTGCTCCATGGAGGTGTTAACCACCTATATCATATTTGGGCAATAGAAGAGATCATACAATAGCAGCATGTACGTGCTCATGGTGCCCTTGAATGATCACATCTTTCATCCCTGCTGTTGTATAACTAAGTAAGTATCCGTGGGCCTTGAAAGTCAGTGATGGTCTGTTAACAAGTTTAATGTTGGCAAACAAGGTTTAAATAGACCTTTCTCTGCAGACAACCCACTTGTATATGGGCATCTGGACACAGTGCTGGACCTCTTCTCATCTGGGCATATACTGTATGTATGCTGGTAATGCCATTACTGGTAACGTGTTCAAATTCAAGCTACTCCACTCTGTTATCTGATGAACTTCATGCTGTCACAACCATAGGGGGTCCATCTTTACATACCAGGGATTCCCCACAGTGTCAGGCAGCTGCATTCCAAACTCCAACACCAGCCCCGTTCACAGTCAATATTCTCTGGTTTCAAGTTCTGCTAGATGTTTTATGGGAAGAAAGTTCTCACAGAAAAAGTAAATTATACAAAGTACTGCCTAATGAATATTTTGTTTCAACACATATATTATTCTGCCTGCTTGGCCTGTTATGAATCCTTTGGTGGAATAAGCTCTGTTCCACATAAATTATGGGCAGCAGCTTTTTCTGTGTGTCCTGTCATATTATCTACTGTAGACTTTCAGACAGTGTAATTTAATCCAGTAGTAGATTCTTCTTCACATGTTTGCTCTCAAATTTGCAAAGTTGCATGGATCTCATTTTTAACCCCAGTAATGGAAAAATCTGTGGTTGATACT